ATATTTTTTAAAAATTTATGATATTTTTAAATTTATTTTTTATTCAAAAAATAAAAATATTAACGCTTTTTCTAAATCATATAAAACCGTATTATATTGATTTTAAAAAAAAAAGCAAAATATTAAATAAAGATATATCTCGATATATTATACGAGTATTTAAGAATATAAAAAATGACAATCGACTGAATTTCAGGAAAGGAAAGGAAATTTCACGGTTATCCAAAAAGTAAAAAAGAAAGTGTACGATTGTGATGCAACAATGTACAACCATAATAAGCAGCATGTTTGTGTTCTCTATTTATTAATGTATTATTTTTTGTTTGGGAGGATTAGGATCACCATCACCTGCTGCGACTGCTTTTCTTCTTTAAGACTGGACCTGCTGTCGACTTTTGCTTTTTTTTTTCCTTTCTTTTGTCTTAGCCCCTCTCTCTCTCTCTCTCTCACACACACACACACTCTCCCCATAAAATAAAATAAAAAATAAACAATAATTTTGGTTCTTATGGTTTGTTAGTAATAACTAATAACGGTTTTTCGTTCTTTAATTTTAAAAATATAAGACGGTAATTATAGTTTACAAAATCGTTTGAATCTTAAAGTCTTTTTTAGTGTCGTTTAAAAAAAACTCAGGCATTTTAGTTTTTTTCTATTTTTATCACATTTTTCTTTAATAAACAAATATATATATATATATATATATATATAAATCACATAGACTAAGAATTAATTTAGTCTAATATATATATATATATATATATAAGGGGAGAGAGAGAGTCATGTTTAAACGATAACATTAACCAAATAAGAGAACATAAGAACAATTGAATCACATATCATTGACTGTTTTCTTATTTTGACTTTTTATCGTTTGTTCCCTCTATACGGAAAAAAAACATACTTTATACAGTGAATCCCACCTTAGTCAGTCCAAGACACTGGTGACCCTTTTCTTTGTCGGTCTCTCTTATCTAACGCCGTCTAAAATCCTCCTTATACGATAAAAAAAAAGCAACCCATTTCTTTCGGACCCTATCACCCGGCTAGCAAACTCCTCCTTCCGCCAGGCCTCTCCCATTCTTCACTCATCTCCCCCATCAAACCACCACCATAAACCTCTCCCTTTCTACACTCACCTCTCCCTTTATTCATGAAATAGTTGTACTCTATACATTATGGGTTGCGCTTAAGAGTTATGATCTAAATGTTTTTAAATGTAGTGTTAGACCCCATAATTCCTATGTGTAAAAGAAATGAAAAATGTACAAGTATGAAAGTCTGGAGACTCGGTGGAAGATAAACTGAGAAGATTCTAAGTGCTGAAGACAAACCAAAGATGCTATGAAAGGTCCAGATGTGCTTTGAAAACATGAAGCACTTAACCTGATAATCATCTACTTATGAAGAAGTTCATTAGATCGATGAATTAACAACTCCATTACCCTTCTGGTTTACAACAACTAGAAGAATTGTCAAGTGTCGCAGTTCAATGAAGATACACTCTAGTCAAGCAGATAGAGACAGCTGGAGGTGACTTATCACCAGCTAGAATTCTGTTACGCCTGGTAGTTAGAGATAACTCCCACCTTTCTAGATAGATATATTCTCCTTGTTTATCTCATAGGTATCTTATACTAGATTGTTATCTCTTACACTAGATTGCTAGTAAAAATAGCATTCATATGTCTTGTATCAAAAGCAATCCTTCTCATTATCATTATTATAGTGAAATTAGTTGAAAGCTTCATACTTTCTTGAATATCATTAAAGTCGTTCTTCACTTTCTTCATTGATACGATAGATTTAGGTTCTCAAACATAATTCTTCGTGTTACATTGAGAGATCTGGGATCAACAATTGGTATCAGAGCAAATTGATTGATTTTCAATCAAAACGATCAATTTGAATGAGTATTCAAATCTCTCAATTTATTTTTCTTCTTTCTCATTTTCTCTTCGAAATCTCTTAAATGGCCAACTGGGATTCTGTATATAGTGTTGGTTCTCTCACCAAGCCTCCAACTCTTCAACGAGAAGAGTATCCGCAATGGAGGATAAGGATGGTAAATTTCCTCGAGGGAATGGACAGGAATCTCCTCAGATTTGTCATGGAAGGTCCCTATATACCCCAGACCCTTGTCCCAAGAGTTCCTGGTACAAGCACAACCGAAGAAGTAGCAGCCTACTACATGGTAAAAGATGAAAGTAATTGGGATGAGGATGACATAGAAAGGGTAGAAGCTAATAGGAAGGCAAAAAGATTGCTTATTATGGCCATTCGTAATGAGATTTTTCAATCTCTAGATGCTGTACAACAGCTAAGGAAATATGGGATGAGCTAGCAAGCCAACTGGAGAGAGGAGCCAAAACCAAGAAGAACCGAAGGACGCAATGCCTGAATGAATACACAAATTTTAAAGCATTGCCTGACGAACCAATTCAGAAGACATATGACCGCTTCAACACTTTGATAAATCAATACCGTAGAAATGACACTGCAAGAACTAAAGAGGAAAATAATGTTTTATTCCTCAAGAGTCTCGGTGATGAATTGACTCAACTATCTATGTCTTTACAAGCAAATCAAGACCTAGACAGCTGGTCACTTCATGATGTCTATGGAACACTTACTGCTCAAGAGCAAGATATTCTGAAAAGGAAGGTGTCTACAGGAGGACCTTTAGCCTTGGTGTTACAAGAAAAGAAGGTTTCGAGAGCCCCCTCCAAAGAACACCACAAAAAGAAGAGCAAGAAGGCATTAATCATAGAATCTGAAGAAGAAGCCTTAGATTCTGATGATGATCTCAAAACTTTTGCCAAATCTCTTGCCCTGATTATTAAACAGTTCCAGAAAAAGTTTGTGAAGAGACCCTTTGAAAAAGATAATAGAAGAGACTCCAGAAGAGAGAGACTCCAGCCCACCTATTGACAGAAGACAGTCAAGTTTCATTAAAGAG